ACTCGTGTCAATCACAATAGGTAAACAACAATAGGTAGCCAATGTCAATTGGGTTTGTTTGAGATCCTGAAGGTAAACGCGTACAGCGCTGAATTCTTCTTCTTAGTCCTGTAATGTTGGACGGGGTATCCCCTAACACAATTAAGTGTTCCGTACAGAGTTTCTTCAGGCATCTCTTCGCCCCCCCCCCCCCCCCGAACGAAAAGGAATTTATATAGAAAACATACTTTTACCAGTGTCCGCCACCCTCCCGTCCTGAAAATGTTGGCCGCCCCCCTCCCCCTCCGAATATATCAAGTGCCCCTTCCCCCCCCCCCCCCCCGGAGAAAAAAGTCTGGAAGAAACACTGGTTCCGTGTCCACTTGTTATTTGCCACAAAGGCCGTTAACTCCGGCTTCAGTCTGTATTTCTTTTTGGATTTGCTTCCATATATTTTTTTCAACCAAAAACAAACTATAAGGCAGCAGTTATTTGATTTGGAGTTGTCTCTCCATGTTTTTTTGCTAAATTAAAATAAATTAAATATTTAGGTACAGGTTGTACGAGGTTAAAAGGTAATTGATCTGAGTCGTCAAACCCCCGAAACACGAATCAATGTTTTTACTGGCTTTCTACTTTGTAGTGCCATAATTATGTTACTTACCCCACTGGACCACAACTTTGTGACGCATTCTCTCCTACAATCTAGTTTCCATGACAAATGTACAGTTATAATCTGCACATGAATGTTACACAAATATCCGAGTTTTATCACCCACCCTCCCCCACCCCAGGTTTTCTTCTAGCTAGTCTGACGTCACACACAGCTGAGGCAGACTGTAAAGGCGAACTACAAACTCTTGGAGTTATACAAGCCACTATCGATGAGCACGAGGAAGCAGGTAAGATCGTGCGGCGGCAAAACGGCCAATGACAAAACGGCCCCGTCAAAACGACCCCGACAAAACGACCCCGTCAAAACGACCCCGTCAAAACGACCCCGTCAAAAGGGCTCCGTCAAAAGGGCCAGCGACATATGGACCCCGTCATATAGGCTCCCGACAAATAGGCTCCCGTCATTTAGGCTCCCGACAAAAGGGCTCCAGTCAATAAGGCTCCCGACAAATAGGCTCCCGTTATATAGGCTCCCGACAAAAGGGCTCCAGTCAATAAGGCTCCTGACAAATAGGCAAGCGTCATTTTGGCTCACGACAAAAAGGCTCCTGTCAATTTGGCTCTAGACAAAAGGACCACTGACACAGTGGCGTAGTTACCGTAAAGCTAGCGTAAGCAAGGCATAGGGGCCCTTTTCCCTCATAAAAAATTAAAACTTTTACAATGGAATTTTAATATTTGTTACATATAAATAATTTTAAAAAAGAAAAAGGTTAAAAGTTCCAAAAAAGCCCCCCCCCCCCCCCCCCACCGTTTCGGCAGTGGGATTCAGTGTGTGTGTGTGTGTGAGTGGGTCAAACACAGCCCAATCGTTATAATAACACTACAGGCGATATCACTTTGTCGTGCAAGACATTGAGAGAATCACCTTATAAATAAACTTTTTAGCAGTAGTAGGCAAACATAATAATACTAGGCATGCTGCCCAGCTTTGCTTAGGCTTTCGAAAACATTGAGAATTTGAATGCTTAATTAATTCGCCCGAGGGTCGGTCTACGACCTCAGGAGTTATGAAGAGGTTCCTCCGTGGACATTTTTTTTCCATTTATAGCTCATATAAGGCGCCGGTCAGTCGAGGTCAGTTTTGACCCCATCATCGTAGACTTTTCGGCCAACCGGCCCCCGTGTTCTGTCGCCCCAAGGCAAGATCCTGCCAAATTTGAAGCGCCTGCGGCGCCGGGAAGTGCCCTATCGGGCACCCGACAACTTTGCTTTATATATTATAGAGATTAGCGAATTGCATAGATAAACAAATATTTCAATAAAGTAATTAAGGCCTGAAATACTTTAGTATACAAATGTATTATTTGAATAGATGAATCTAGAATATCTAGATCTAGAATCCAAATAAATAAAATAAATTTTATGAGTTTAGGCCGGAAAAATTGTATTGTATACATTTCATAGTGTACGTAGATCTAAATCAAATTTGAATGAAATAGTTCATTTCTTTTTATTCTAAACACGGCAGATGACGTCATTAGTTAATGTATAAGCAATGGTGACGTCACAGTTTTATGCGTTCTTTTTCACATCCACTAATGCTTTTCCGGTTGCATAAATAATACTGTTTCTCTACATTCGAATACGCCTTTAATTTTTATTTTTCTTCTTTAAATAAAATTGTGGTTATACATTTAAAACATCTAACATATTATTTTCAACAAAAGTCCGTATAAAGTTCTCCATATATCGCTGCCGTTTCTGACGTGATGTCCGGCGAAAATATTTTGCGGACAGACAGAGAGAGAGAGAGAGAGAGAGAGAAGAGCGCACATGGGGAATTATACATTAGGATTAAAAAATATCCATCGTAAGTAGAAGTTGATCTCTTCGTTTAACTCCTCTGTAGCCTAACGCAGAGGCGTAGAGAAGGCGGGGCGGGGGGTGCGGACCGCAACAGGTGACACCATTTAGCGGGGTGACACCAAAGGCAAAAAATTGTAAAATTTATAGAATGAAATGCCATTTTTCCAGATCCATTAGTTAAAGTTAAATAGTCTAAGTACAAATCAAAATTATATTAAGAGGGTGGGTGGGGGGGGGGGGGGGTGGGGGTGGGGTTGACACCACGACGTAAACGTAAACTATAAAGAAAACAATGCTACATCCAACTGTATTATAAACAGACTGTAGATAAACATCGTTACTATTAAGTCTGCAGTGATTAAAGCTTATACACGTACGTGTACCAGTATGTGGCATATATATAATTTTTAGGCCTATGTAGGCCGACACACACACACACACATATATATATATATATATATATATATATATATATATATATATATATATATATATATATATATATATATATATATATATATACTTTGTTTCCTGGGAGGGGGGTGACAATACGAAGTGCCGCACCGGGTGACACCCGACCTAGCGACGCCACTGGCCTAACGGCTGACGAAAGGGGCCCACTGATAATTTTTGCATAGGGGCCCAAAAATCCTAACTACGCCACTGCACTGACATTACCGTTTCTGTAGAGACTCCGGCAAAGCAGTCTCATTGAATATGACACATGCCAGTGGGACCCCTTCATCAATATTCTTTAGAGTTAGCTTATCCAACACTCTTATGTAATACAACGTATGCATCTCTTGTTCGGCAGGCCTTATTTTCCCACGTTTTCTTTAACTTGCTTTCGTCTCTGTTTGTTTGTCTTTCCAATCAAATCTTGCGATCGGAATTTCTGGCACTTCCCAGTTAGCTAGCGCGCTGAAATTTTCAGGGAAGCTTTGGTTTGGATGACAATAGAATATTCAATTGTTATTATTACTAAATTGATCCATGGAAACATTTTATCGACCATTTTAGACCGCTATATAATTGTACAAAAACGTGGGGCGCCGTGATTTTCTTACAGTTTCTAATACTGTTGACTCTCTACAAGCTCCCTAATAAAAATCAATAGTATTATCTAATCAATAGTAATATAACTTTTACTTCGGCGCCCCACGTTTTTCATCGCTTATAGTAGAGTGATCGCTTGCATTATTGTCATGTATAGCATTTATTTTCTACTTTTTAGTTCAATCAGAAAACGTGGGTTTTTTTAAACTTTTTTAATGATTATTATTTATATTAGTTTATCTATTATAAAATATAGTATGTTTTAATTTAAGGGTCATATATCTATGACATTCATAATTGAGTCGGTTATAGGCTGTTCCAACTCAGTGTGGGGAGAAGGGTCCACGCTGTACCTTCCTAACTGCAGTATGCTTGTAGGTTATCAAAACAAAATGCTGTTATCATGTAAACATCATGTATATCATACATTTACACTTCTGTGCTCGCTTTTAAGCAACAGATCTTTTCTGTTGTAAGTTAAACATTATCAAAACTTTAGAATTGGTGGAATTTAGCTGTTAAAGGCTCGATTTGTTTGTGAATTAATGTTGGTTCATGAAAAACAAATTCATTCGGGCATTAAAAAGAGGTTATAGTGGTATTGGAGGTAGGACACAATGGTTACTTTTATGCCAATAGTGGTCATATCATTCATTTTTCTGGAGCCAATATGTCGGGAGTCATTTTGTCAAAAGCCAATATGTCGGGAGCCCAATTGCCGGGAGCCAATATGTCGGAGCCCATTTGTCGGTAGCCAATATGTCGTGAGCCCATTTGCCGGGAGCCCATTTGTCTTGAGCCCTTATGTCGGGAGCCAATATGTCGGGAGCCGCTTTGTCGGGAGCCAATATGTCCTGAGCCTATTTGTCAGGGGTTAATATGTCGGGAGTCCTTTTGTCGGGAGCCCTTTTGTCGGGAGCCTAAATATCGGGAGCCCATTTGTCGGGAGCCTATATGTCGCAAGTCAATATGACGGGAGCCCATTTGACGGGAGCCAATAAGTCGGGGCCCTTTTGACGGGCTATTTTGACTGGGTCGTTTGGTCGGGGGTTGATTTGACGGGGTCATATTAACGGGGCCGTTTTGACGGGGCCGATTTGTCCCGGGCCGTTTTGACAGGGCACCAGGTAAGATGTCAAGCAAGTAACGGCTAATTGTAACACGCTGGTATTTTAACTAACCTCTTTATACGACGCCGCGGTCGGGTGGTAAAGCTTACGTCGGTTAGCTGTAAGTCTCGAATTCAAAACACCAGTTCGAGTCTGTAGCCCAACCCGTTCTGATGGGTGCCTGAGGTCATTGAAATAAATGAACTCTACTTGATCTGCCCCGTGTGTATTCGGCATGAATGATAAAAGATGATGATATGCTTGCCTATGAATTAAATTCAAATTTTTAAGATACATTTAGTCGTACGTAAACTACAGGAGTACCTCAAGCTGACTATCTAACAATTATGATCTTGTCTTAGGTGGTTTAGTGTCTAACACAACTTTTACTGAGCTGGGACTGAACCCATCTGAATCAACGCTTATACATGTGGTAAATGGTAGTATCTATACAAAAGACACAATAGAACTGGATGGGGAAACTAACAAGGTGAGTTGATTTCAGTATTTGTACCGACATCTTTCAGACCTGGATTGACAGTTACCTGGCTACGTCTAACAAACTTTTCAAAGGACAAAAACATTAAAATTTATCATTAAAAAACACATTTAATAATACTTTAGTTGTAATGCGTTAAAATGTAGGAACTTTAGAAAATGTGAAATCTAAATGAAAGTGCGTGCACAAAATGAAAAAAAATCTCTGTTATTATTGTGTGCAATAGTGTTCCAATAGTGATTTGGGCCGTGGGAATAATTAATACTTTTATCCCCAGAGTCGCTGTGATGAGACAAAAACAGGGAGATGGCATCTAACTTGCGCTGGTGTGGTGAGTTTCTCTAACATGTATCTCTTCCATCCAAGAATATCGCATAAATAATGACTTTAAAGCACAAACATAAACAAAAACTGTTGAAAAATTAGAACCTGTTAAACGTGTTTTTTAATCGACTGATTTTGTTATACTTATTTATTAAGAATACAACACCAAAGCCATTCTCATATGTAGACCAGCCTTTTAAAACCTTACTCAAAATTTAAAGATAATGTTTCAACTTCTTAGGATACCGGGGCGTTGCTTATTGTTCAAATGAACTATAGTGACGACCATGATCCGAAGTTTCCACAGATTCTAAAGCGTGGAGTTCGGGTCCAGGAGGTGAGTGATGTTTTCTTGGGGTTTGTGTGCTTATGTATCCAACTTTAAGTACAAGTCGATATTTGTCAAAACCTAAATACAAGAAATTTGGGTTTATCGTAACAAGGGAACGTTTTGGCAAATATTATAAGGATATTTGATAGCCGAAAATATTTTTTAAAATCGGTAATATTATTGTTAAAACAGATTGTATTAATTTTTAGGGACAAAAAGAAAGCAACTGCCAATTTCCTTGTTTTATCCATAATAAAATGTTTTATTTCGATCTTTAAAAGTGGATTTTTTCTAAAATGTGCACATGCATATATATATATATATATATATATATATATATATATATATATATATATATATATATATATATATATATATTATATTTATAATATTAAAAAACTCGACTTCATTTGCCCCATGAACAACCTGGTCCTTATGTAACCTTTCTCCAAGTGTCAAAATGTGATGAAATGTTACCACATATTATTTCTTATTATATTTGCTCACATGCTTTTGCCCTATGTTTTTTAGACTCTTTTTATTTGTCACTAAAACAACATTTAACTAACGTTACAGCGAGTGCCGTTGGGTACTGTTGTCTTGAATTTCACCAACGCAAACTACACCGTCACGGACGATGATTGTAACTCTCAACCGCCCCTGTACGATGTTTCGTCTGTGAGTTACCAGAACTGTACCGTCTGTTGTTACCAGTGTTTCTTCTAGACTTTTTCCTCGAGGGGGAGGGGGGAGCACTAATAAAGAGATATATATATATATATATATATATATATATATATATATATATATATATATATATATATATATATATATATGTATATATATATATATATATATATATATATATATATATATATATATATATTCTATGAGAATTCTACTTCGTTCGGGCGGGGCAGTGGGGGGAGCCCCCTCGAAGAGATGCCTAAAAGAAACTCTAGTTGTTACCCATAATTTTTTACCCATAATAAGACAGTATTTAAAACATTTGAATATTTTGTAGGAAACTGGTTCGTTTACCGTGACGAATTCGGCGATAATTGTAGCCAAGGAGTTGGACTACGAACGGCAGAATTTATACAAAGTAACTCTTAAAGCTATGACATCATCGGTAGGTAACTGTCTACAATTGGCTTTATATATTTTACAGTCAACACATAGTAACTTTCTTATACTACAATACATTTATCTGTAAAAGAACGAGGTTTCTTTAGTGTGTGTTGTTCTTGCTGTGTTTGATTTGTGCATCAAACTAGTGTAGTCATATCAGTTGCTTTGTAGATATAAGCTACTCTCGCTCTCTATCATGTCATAACTATAATGGCATAAAGAAGGTGACATTCTACTGATGACATTTAAAAGTAGCTATTATCACCTCGTCAGACCGGATCTGAATACCGAACATCCAGCATGATGTTGATGATATATGTGGATGACGTTGATGACGAGAGACCAGAATTTACCAGCAGTATCTACACGCTACACGTCATGGAGGGGGTGAGTTACCTTTTTTATTACAAGCTTTTATTTAGTTTACAGTGGCGTTTATTTGTTCGTGTGTTGGTTTGCGGGTTGTGGCAAATCACGTAAATCAATTTTAAAACACTTCTAATGCAGCGATTTTGTTCCGACATTCCATATACATTTATCTCCGATGACAATGCAAGAATATCTATTTTTAACCTAATTAGCAATTACTTTTGTCATTAAAATTTAAGATATATGTCTTTTAGAAATATCAAGCAACTGGTCGGATTTTACGGGAAATATTTTAGTAAATTTGATATCTTTCTTTACTTGTAAGCTTTGTATCATGTTGGTCTCGCATCGTGAGTCTGATATTTGGTTTGGTGTTTCTGTTTGTTGTCTGTGTTGATGCATCTTATACTTGTCTGTTTACATATTACTGAGACAGGTCTCTGATATTGTTGTATGGTTCACAAAACATTATAGTCTCCATGTTGTTTATTGATTCGGTTAAAACACTGTGCCTCCCCGTTGTAAGATTAATTTCTCATTCATAGTTAAGTTTGTGAACATTTCAGTTTATGTATTAAGTTTTTTTTAATAAATTCAAGAAAAATAACTGATTCCTAAAACCCATTTAAAACATTTTATTCTACAAGTGTAATCCGTCATAGAAGTTACAAACTTACTGTTTCCCGATCATTGTTTAAAATCCAACATTATTTTTTCGTCTGCTTATTTTGGAAATGTGTTAGGGGTCGTCTATAAATGACGTCACACTCTTAGGGGGGGGGATGGGGGTCCGTAATTTTGTGACGGTGTGTGATGAGGGAGAGGGGGGGGGTCAGATGGTGCAACGTCACACTTTTGTATTATAAAAAAGCAATCTTAGAAAACGAATTTTAGACGTTATTTCGCGTTTTAGAAAACGGTTTTAATAAATTGTAATAGGAATTGATTAAAACACTCTATTTTGACAGAGTTCAGACTAAATTTTGGAAAAATATCGATGTTTAAAAAAAATTCAACTGCAATTTTGAGGGGGGGGGGGTTGTAGGCTGAGGTGTGACGTCCTTTTAGGGGGGGGGAAGGTCTGGCTTTTTGTGACGATGTGTGACGGAGGGGAGGGGGGGTAAAATTGTCAAAAAAAGCGTGACGTCATTTATGGATGACCCCTTACACAACTGACCACCTGTTTAAAATCCATCCCATCATACAGCCTGTACCTTCTGAAGCCTGGCTGACTACAGAGCCACCTGTTCTGGCACTAGACGGAGATCGCGGCATTAACACAACGCTGAACTACAGTTTCGTAGGTGAGTACATAACATGCACGTCATCAGCTGCTAAATACATAGTACAGCCAATGTCCAGTTATAGCTAAATACATAGTACAGCCAATGTCCAGTTATATGAATATCTAATCTCTGACTATGTAATACACAAGTTTGATTTACCTTCAGCTTGTTTCTTAACTCATTGTATGTTGAATTGTATACTTTGGGATTTAAATTTATTTTTAAATATTTAATAGCTGGTGTATATCAAGGTGTATACTAGTTACCGTTGTGTATCTTTCTATTTGTATTACAACGTTTCATAATTCTTTGTTCGGTATGTTTAGTTTTGTAGTTTGTGATCTAAATTTCTTTTTAAATAGTTAATAGCGGCTGTATAAAATGGTATACATAGCTATCATACATCTTTCCAATAAAACAAACAACGCCTCAAAGCTGTGATTTCCGATAAAGTCCTTGAATTGAGTGAAGTGTTTCACCCTAGGGAAGTATGTTAATTCTATGTTGACCCCAAACAGATCCCCTGCCCACGGGTCTCAAGATGAAGATCAACTTGACCACTGGTCAACTTCGTGTCTTTGACGCACTGGACCGTGAAACCAACAGCAGCTTTATGGTCGTTGTCAAGGTCAGTTGAGCATGACGGTCTACTCTAATTAGTTCATGGTGGCGAGGTTTGACTTTCACTTCATAAGTGGGAAGGGTTAGACTAGTTTAGACTATTTTAGACTAGTGGTAAGGGTTAGCCTTGTTAGGTATAGAGACAAGAAACTTACTGAACCTAGTCTAATAAAATCCAATTTATCGCCACGTTTACAAAATAAAAACAAACTATACGCAAGCTAACTTTCTTGTTTTAGTTAAGGTCATGTCAACCATACTTGAATTTTTAACATTAATTCAGAAAATATAGAATCTCGGGAACTTTTTTTGGATGAATAGTTAGTTCTCTACGTGTGTGATACAGCATGAGCCAGATTTACTCTATACTTCTTTTTTCCATGCATATAATGTATTACAATTTTTTTTAAACTAGCAAACTCTACTAAGTTAAGCATAAGACAAAACTGTTAGCATTGGCTGCACACTTAAAAACAAAAAAAAACACTTGCACCACGATGACAAAACCTAACACCATGTACCACCATAACACCATGTACCACCCCAACACCATTTATCACCATAACACCATGTACCACCATAACCCCCTGTATCACCAGGCGGCACAAACAGACAATGATTTAATGACCGCCACCAGCACCATCAAGATAGTGGTGGACGACAGGAACGACAACAGGCCAGTCTTGACCTCGCAGACGACAGCCACGGTACAAGAGGATGCCAGACCTGGCACCACAGTCCTCCTGCTGACCGCTACTGACCAGGATGAGGTACAAAAATTATCGACTAATGACGAAAAATGTTTACAACAAAGTTTTGACCAACGAATACTCAGTGTTAAAAACACATAAACATTGTTTATTAAAGGCTACCATTTTTACAGCAGAGTTTGTGTTAGAAACATACATATTGTTTATTTAAAGTTACCATTTAATTTACTGCAGTAAATTACGAATTAATGATTAGTGATTTTGTTCATGACCGTGGTATATCAAGTAGATAGTCATATAATAAACTTAGTTGTTGTTTTTTTAAGTTCGCTACATGTTTCGGGAAGTCAAAAAGTTCAGTACTTGTAGATGTATTATCATCCTATTTAGGTGGATCCATTTTTGTCTGCTATTAACAATTTATATTTGTATTCAAAAGAAATGTACTTGACCTTGGCATCATTTTATCTACCGACCCCAGGGCATAAACTCACAGTTTGATTACGTCATGGCATCGGATGACCTGGCAGCTTTCAATTTGAGCTACGATGACGTAACTCAGAAAACCTGGTTGGTCGTGTCGGATTCTAAAGCTTTGCGTGGCAAAGAGACGGGTCATGTCAAGGTCAGTAGTTCATGTGTGTCAAGGTCAGTAGCTCGTGTCAAGGTTAGTAGCTCATGTCGAGGTCAGTAGCTCATGTCAAGATCGGTAGCTAATGTCAAGGTCAGTAGCGCATGTCAAGGTCAATAGTCCATGTCAAGATCAGTAGCTCATGTCAAGGTTAGTCGCTCAAGTCAATGTCAATAGCTCGTGTCAAGGTCAGTAGCTCATTTCAAGGCCAGTAGTTCGTGTTAAGGTCAGTAGCTCGTGACAAGGTCAGTAGTTCATGTCAAGGTCAGTCTCTCGTGTCAAGTAAGTCGGTCATGCTAATGTGGGTGTGGGTGTCAATGTGAGTCTCTATTGACAAGGTGAGACGGTCATGTTAAGGTGAGACTCGTGCTAATGTCAAGGGTGAGACTGTCAATTCAAAGTGAGACGGTTGTAGCTTTAATAATTGCACTTGAGTCTGTGTCCTTCTAGTGGTGATGATCTACAGTTAACGTAAATTATGTCGTTGTCATGACAACAAAACTTTTGTTTACAGGTGTATCTGGTAGAGAGAAGCCCGCCAGATGGTGGGGCGCCGTGTGACAACGTCACAACCTGCGTGGCGGACATCACCGTGACCATTGCTGACGTCAACATGAACAGTCCTGTGTTCACACAACAGGCGTATAGCTTCAGCGTACAGGGGGATCCCCAGGTCGTTGGCCAGGTCAGTTCAGCAAGGTGATCTTTGAGGTCATTGGTCAGGTAAGTTCTTTAATGTGATCTTTGAGGTCATTGGTCAGGTAAGTTCTTTAAGGTGATCTGTGAGGTCATTGGTCAGGTAAGTTCTTTAAGGTGATTTGTGAGGTCATTGGTCAGATAAGTTCTTTAAGGTGATCTGTGAGGTCATTGGTCAGGTAAGTTCTTTAAGGTGATCTTTGAGGTCATTGGTCAGATAAGTTCTTTAAGGTGATCTGTGAGGTCATTGGTCAGGTAAGTTCTTTAAGGTGATCTTTGAGGTCATTGGTCAGGTAAGTTCTTTAAGGTGATCTTTGAGGTCATTGGTCAGGTAAGTTCTTTAAGGTGATCTTTGAGGTCATTGGTCAGGTAAGTTCTTTAAGGTGATCTTTGAGGTCATTGGTCAGGTAAGTTCTTTAAGGTGATCTTTGAGGTCATTGGTCAGGTAAGTTCTTTAAGGTGATCTTTGAGGTCATTGGTCAGGTAAGTTCAGCAAGGTGATATTTGAGGTCATTGGTCAGGTAAGTTCTTTAATGTGATCTTTGAGGTCATTGGTCAGGTAAGTTCAGCAAGGTGATATTTGAGGTCATTGGTCAGGTAAGTTCTTTAAGGTGATCTTTGAGGTCATTGGCCAGGTAAGTTCAGCAAAGGGATTTCAGGTCATTTAAGAGGTAAATTGATCAAGATATTTACCTCATTGGCCAGATAAGCTCATCAAGGCGATATTTAGGTCAATAGCCAGTTAATTCACGCACGATAATTTTTACGAAGTGTCTACTCGGAATAAGATTTTTCGGCAAAAGATAGTTCTGCGCATGCGCAGTGACCTATGGCTAGGGTTAGGGCTAGAATGAGGGTTAGGGGTAGGATTAGGGATAGGGTTAGGGATAGGATTAGGGTTAGGGATAGGATTAGGGCTAGGGTTAGGGTTGGGTTAGGGATAGGGTTAAGGATAGGATTAGGGTTGGTATTAGGGTTCTGCGGTTGTAAACACACGCATGCGCAGTACCATCGAAAACATCGCCGCTAAGTCGTAGTTTCTCTCCATTGCGCATGCGTATCGCATGCGTATCTTATTCCGACTAGAATCGGCCTAATTTTTATATGTTCAACACGCAAAGAATTCGGAATAATTTGTTTAGTCAATTTTTTTATAGAAAATGTTCAATATTATCAAGTAAACAACAGTAAAAAAAAATAATTTATTTGTGTTTATAGGCCTACCGGTATAACAACATCAAATATGAGTAATAAAAAAAACTATTGTGTATAATCCAGTGATCTAAATACCTCAGGGTGCTCAGTGTTAAACTATACATTATATGTTGATATTTTCAGGTAAATGCTGCCGATACTGACAGGGGAGATAACGCGAGAATATCGTACCAGTTGCTCAGCTCCGCCGTAGGAGATTGTAGGATGATGAGTATAAACGAGACTTCAGGGGAAATAACTCTCACGTCGAAAGTTGCGTCTCTGACTACTTGTTACATGATGGTCACCGCTTGTGATAATCCCCACGACGTATCCCTTCAGTAAGTGAAGTCAACTGTAAACTATTTTTTACTGTACTAAAAGCTATAAAACTTTGTGAAAACTAGACGATCAAAATACCCCAAATAAAAAGAAAGTTACACGGGGAGGTAAGAAAGAAAATTGTGCAAATATTGATTTCTTTTTTATATGGACGAGTGGGAGGAGGGCGAAATTTTTTGCTAAGCTTGAAACATATAAATGACTAACGTTGTTTGATGCGTGGAATAGAATTGGCCGAAACAGTACCTAACTCAATGCCAAACTTCTCTATATCCATAATCCTAACACAATCAAAACTCTACAAATGAATGCATTTCATTTATTATCCCTTCTATTATAAGCTGATTGAATTTAACGACAGTTTGGTACTTTACTATAAACATTTGCCTTACAAAAAAAAATGTGAAGCCTTACAAGTTAGAACTTTTTCAACTACTGGTAAACAAAAATGGAGTCGGCAGAATCATCACACGCACAAGGAGATGAACAATTTGTTCAACCAAAGACTAAATCAAGAAAAAGAAAAGAACCAGATATGGATACAAATGATATTTCAAACCCTTCTGCCAAAAGACCACATTTTAAACCTTTTAACACTGTTACTTCGACTTCTTCAAAAGGTGAAATTAGAAGAATACCTGTACCGTCACATCGCTACACACCATTACAGAAAGACTGGCTTAAAATTTTCACACCAATAGTGGAGAACTTGAAGCTTAATGTCAGATTTGTTGCAAAAAAACGACAAGTTGAGATAAAGGCAGGAAAAGAAACTGAAGATATTGGAGCTCTACAAAGACCTGAAGATTTTGTTAAAGCTTTTATTTTGAAGTTGATGATGCATTGGCCTGACTGAGACTGGATCATTGGTATTTAGAAAGTTTTTATGTGACTGATGTCAAACCACTCAAGGGAGATCACCTTTCTAGAGCAATAGGCAGGGTGGCAGGGAACAATGGGAAAACAAAGTTTACAATAGAAAATGTCACAACTACCAGGATCGTCTTGGCAGACAGTTAAGTCCACATCCTGGGATCTTATCAAAATATTCAGATAGCCAGGAGGGCAATTTGTAATTTAATTCTTGGCAGTGCACCAAGCAAAGTCTATGGGCAAATGAGGACTGTGGCTTCAAGAGCAGCCAGTAGATTCTAAAGCTATTCATGTATAAATGGATATAGTCTGAAATAAATATGCTATATTAAAAACAAATTGAAGCCTTACAGCTTGATTTGGTTATCTTTAGACTCCATGTGTCTGGCATCCAATCTGTACAGTCAGATGTACGGACATTACTTCTTGTGGCCCTGTTACTTCCTCGCGTTTTAATTCTACCAGAGATGTACACACGATACGTCTTTGAGGACTGTTCCTTTCAAGCGATGTGATTCAATCAGGCGGATGTACTATAACCGTCACAACATTGGGGGACTTTTTCTTTCAGACACTGTTACACAACAGATACTAGTATAAGGAACTATTTCTTTCAGACGCTGTTACTTAATGAGAAAGATACACAAATATTACTAGTTTAAGGATTCATTTCTTTCAGAAGCTGCAATTTAAATAGAAAGGTTCACAAAGGTTACTAGTAGGCCTGTAAGGAACTATTTCTTTCAGACGCTGTAATTTAAACAGATACACAACAGATACTAGTATAAGGAACTATTTCTTTCAGACGCTGTAATTTAAACAGATACAGATACTACTATAAGGAACTATTTCTTTCAGACGCTGTAATTTAAACAGATACAGATACTAGTATAATGAACTATTTCTTTCAGACGCTGTAATTTAAACAGATACACAACAGATACTAGTATAAGGAACTATTTCTTTCAGACGCTGTAATTAAAACAGATACACAACAGATACTAGTATAAGGAACTATTTCTTTCAGACGCTGCACCTCCGTGCCTGTCTCTGTCATCCTCTCCCCTCCCGCCAACACCACCGCATCCAGCACCAAGGACGTCACGATTCCTGAGAATGTTCCAGTGGGCACGATCGTCACAGATCTACCTGTAGGTATCTCTGTCATTCTTTGCCTGGTCATTGAGTTTGTGTTCAAGGTCATTGACCTCATCATCTGGAACAAACAGTTTTCATTTTTTTTTTACAAAAAATAAATAAATAATTGGCTTTCATTTTATTTATATATATTCATTATATATTTCGGAATTATTTTCAGTTTAATGTGGCTGTATATATTCAACTTCTAGTTGTGTAATCAAATCATTGTTGTTGTTTATTTTTCCAGAAAACAAATTTAAAGACTAACGCCACAGATTTTAAGATAGTTGAAGAGTAAGACATTAACATATATTTTATCTTTAATATTGACTAATTAATTTGTGACTAGGCTAATTACTTAAATTAATATGACATATTTTAATGGCATATTAAAACTATACACATACCTACATAAATAAACCAAAAACATATTTTCATATATAAATGTTTTACTAATATAGCCATAATATTGAGCTACTCATAGCCTAAGAAATAGTGGTAGAAACGGCACAGGGCAGTAATATGCATTCGTATGAATATATACTCACTGTATAGCAGCAGAAACAGTAATGTATATGTGTATGGGTCAGTATACAATCCCAAAGATGCACACGCATAAGAATAGACTCACGCACACACACACACACACACATATATATATATATATATATATATATATATATATATATATATATATATATATATATATATATATATATATATATATAGATAGATAGATAGATAGATAGATAGATAGATAGATAGATAGATAGATAGATAGATAGATAGATAGATAGATAGATAGATAGATAGATAGATAGATAGATAGATAGATAGATAGATAGATAGATAGATAGATAGATAGATAGATAGATAGATAGATAGATAGATAGATAGATAGATAGATAGATAGATAGATAGATAGATAGATAGATAGATAGATAGATAGATAGATAGATAGATAGATAGATAGATAGATAGATAGATAGATAGATAGATAGATAGATAGATAGATAGATAGATAGATAGATAGATAGATAGATAGATAGATAGATAGATAGATAGATAGATAGATAGATAGATAGATAGATAGATAGATAGATAGATAGATAGATAGATAGATAGATAGATAGATAGATAGATAGATAGATAGATAGATAGATAGATAGATAGATAGATAGATAGATAGATAGATAGATAGATAGATAGATAGATAGATAGATAGATAGATAGATAGATAGATAGATAGATAGATAGATAGATAGATAGATAGATAGATAGATAGATAGATAGATAGATAGATAGATAGATAGATAGATAGATAGATAGATAGATAGATATATATATGACTTAAAATTTCTTTTCACAGCATTCTGTACACAAACGCTGATAGATAGATAGATAGATAGATAGATATATATATGACTTAAAATTTCTTTTCACAGCATTCTGTACACAAACGCTGATATGGATAGAGAGAAACAAGACGGCTATAGAGTTTTGGCCTTTGAAGATACGGTAGGAGTAAAAAAAAATTATTCTTGCCATTTCTTCTTCTGGTAGTGTTAGCAGTCGTGTTAGATATGAGAGAAATATTAGCTCTGATAAATCTACTAGAACCAAGTACTGATCTGCTCCTCAGGCTGGTTCTGTGGCGCTGATCGTCAATGTCCATGTTGGTGACGTCAACGACAACAGACCTGCATTTGATCAGGGCCAGTATCAAATAACGCTCGGCGATGACGTCACACCTGGTCAAGTCGTTCTCCAAGTCAATGTAGGATTTTTTGTTCACATTAGCTGTAATATATATATATATATATATATATATATATATATATATATATATATATATATATATATATATATATATATATATATATATATATATAGTAAATATGTATATATATATATATATATATATATATATATATATATATATATATATATATATATATATATATATATATATATACATATATATATATATATATATATATATATATATATATATATATACATATCTAATTATGTTGCCTAGGCGACTGATGCAGATCTGAACGACAACTCACGTCTGACCTACAGGATATTGACCTGTGGGTGAGTCCTATTCTTTATTCACCAAATTTATTTGTTCCAGTCAAATGATTACGTAATGATATTTTTAAAGTACAGAAACCCTTTTTGTATTCACCACCGCAAGACGTTCTATAATTTCACATTAACCTGATCCTCTGGTTACATAATAAAACGCTATTGTTTGACGTGCGGTTTTGTTGAATTATTTCCTTGATTGGAATCATTCAGATAATGTGGTTGTTTGAAGAAATAAATAACATAATTCACCTCACACACCAACACCACTCTAGGCAGTGTTTCTTTTAGACTTTTTTCTCCGGGGGGGGGGGGGGGCTGACACTGGTAAAAGTATATATTTCCTATATAAATTCCATTTCATTGGTGGCGGTAGACCGAGAAATGCATGAAAGAAACACTGTCTTCGGGGACCACTCAACACAAGGGGGAACCCACAATCACAGACTATAAAAATACAAGACTAGCCTGTTTACATTGTTTGTGGCTCCTTTTCCATTGACGAGTTGGATTTGATTACTGTGGAAATGTTCCAGTTCAACAAAAAAAAATTAACTTCCCGTGTCTTGTGAATATTTCCAGCCAGTGGTTCAGCATCGACGGTACCAGTGGGAAGGTCAAGGTCATTACCTCACCGCCCTCTGACGTCACTGAGTGTTCTCTGGAAGTCAGTGATGCCGGAACCCCGCCTCTCCAGTCTCACACATCCGTTATGGTAATTAAACTGACCTCTGTATAAGGATACTTAGACTGGCGCTCTTTATAAATAAAGATAATTTTATTGACTTCCCATAAAAAAAGTGTACATCTTTCCTTCGAAATAAACTAACTAAATCCACTTACTTAATTATGTGAATAACATACCCACGTGTTATTCAATGGACAATAATTTTTTTTTAATAATTTATTACATCTCATTTTAAAATACAACTAAATAATAGATAATAAATTTACTTTCAATTAAGCAAAATATTTTTTTCTAAAGATTTACTTCCCCTTATTCAACGAAACTGCAATGGTTATTCTACCGACGGCCAGTGGTGAACTAATGGCCGACAGGGAGGGTGTGGCAAGGTAAGTTAGGAAATAGCCGGTTGCTATACAGGCATAAAATCAACATTTTTAAAACTGAAACCCATATCAACAGTGATTTTGGATAGTTACTTATCGATCATGTACCTAATTTGTTTAATAACATCAATAAATAACCATTACGATTTTTTAAAGAGACTAAACCAGGGGTCGGCAACCTGCGGCTCGCGAGCCGTATGCGGCTCTTTGGATGTCAAGTTGCGGCTCTCCAGCTCCTTGCAAAAATATTATTATAGTTATATAACTTCAATTTTACTGGACGGTGGGGTACACGTTTATCCTGCGTTCAGTGGGGTGGAAGATAAGCCTGGTGAGAACCGAAGGACAGAAGCGACCGATAAACTGTAATCAAACCGATATCTAAGCCATTTAGTCGAAGTTTGCCGTGTTGAGGCCTGCCTGGCTAATTGGAGACACCTCCTGAGCCGATATTGTCCGTAAAAAAGACAAACACAAATTAACAGCTTCTAAAGTCAATTGGAATAGTCCTATAAGTATATTACTTGATTACTAATTTATTATTCTGGTGAAACATGTGTATTTTTTATGAATTAATATTAATTCATATTTAAAGCTATTTATTTTAATAATAATCATTAAAAAAGTTTTAAAAAACCCACGTTTTCTGATTGAACTAAAAAGTAGAAAATAAATGCTATAGGCCCTACATCACAATAATGCAAGCGATCACTCTACTATAAGCTAGCAAAAACGTGGGGCGCCGAAGTAAAAGTTATATTACTATTGATTAGATAATACTATTGACTTTTATTAGGGAGCTTGTAGAGAGTCAACAGTATTAGAAACTGTAAGAAAATCACGGCGCCCCACGTTTTTGCTAGCTTATAGTAGAGTGATCGCTTGCATTATTGTGATGTAGGGCCTATAGCATTTATTTTCTACTTTTTAGTTCAATCAGAAAACGTGGGTTTTTTAAAACTTTTTTAATGATTATTATTTTCTACTTTTTAGTCTTTGTCTGTTTGTTTGCATTAAAATCTTGCTATCGATTTTATCTTTTCACTTTTTTTGGGTAAACGAAGACAACTCGTAAAAAGACAACTCGTAAAAAGACAACTCGTAAAAAGACAACTCGTAAAAAACTCGTTGTTTGAATACGTTACTGACTAGAACACATAGATTTGAACCCGTGTCGAGTGGGATAGCAATCGTGTGCCCAACCACTCGACCATATCGTCTCCCCCAAACTGGCCTACCTCCTGTAAGTTTAAACTCGGTTCAAGCTAAATTCTCTGCCCCTAAGCCTGTGGCGACATGTGATCGTTCGCTTCACTGCGCGCGAGGTACGCGTCGCTGGTTTTTTTTCTAATGGCTAGCAGAGGAGAATTATATATATAGATTATATAGCGGTCTAAAATGCTCAATAAAATGTTTCCATTGATCAATTTAGTAATAATAACAATTGAATATTCAATGGTCATCCAAAAGAAAGCTTCCCTGAAAATTTCAGCGCGCTAGCTAACTGGGAAGTGCCAGAAATTTCGATCGCAAGATAAAATCCTAATCAAATGCCAATATATTGAAATAAAATGTTAGTGGCTCTTTAAAAACTGGGAAATTTTGTAAATTGTAACTTTTGGCTCTTCAGTAGTAAAAGGTTGCCCATCCCTGGTGTATACCGCATGTGCGGGTGTTGATTTATAAAAACTAGTAAAACTATTACCTTAAAGGGAAACAACAAAATGACATTTCTAAATTTAAAATAAAAATATTACGAAAGAACAAAATACAATACACTGATATAATCGTTAATAGATTAAATTATAAATAACAATTTGTACTTTAAACAGTGTATAATTGTTTTTCAATGTTCAAAATTTTGGATGAGTAAGAAATTAATTACGAATAGAGACACTTTAGATTTATTACAATCTTAGTTCTACAGTAACTTTAATCTACTCTTAGTTATCGCAGTTCTTAATGCCAATGTTACTATTATTTCTTGATCCCTTTATATCAAAGGGATAAATCATAAAAATTGATATGATTAATATTAATGCCGTTATTTTGGATTAGTGCATAATAGGTTGTTACTGTTTAATTTGGAGTCATTGAGCTGTAGATCTAATTCTTAAACTTACTTACACAGGTGGAGGCGACACGTGAGGGTGTGGGGTGAGATGTGTTGGCATAATGTGAGAGCTTAGATGTGAGGGTGTGGGGCGAGATGTGTAGACATAATGTGAAAGTGTGGGGCGAGATGTGTAGGCATAATGTGAGAGTGTGGGGTGAGATGTGTAGACATAATGTGAGAGTGTGGGGTGAGATGTGTAGGCATAATGTGAGAGTGTGGGTGAGATGTGTAGACATAATGTGCAGTGTGGGGTGAGGAGTGTAAGTGACATATGAGGGTGTGGGGTGAGATGTGTAGACATAATGTGAGAGTGTGGGGTGAGATGTGTAGACATAATGTGAGAGTGTGGGGTGAGATGTGTAGGCATAATGTGAGAGTGTGGGGTGAGATGTGTAGACATAATGTGAGAGTGTGGGGTGAGATGTGTTGGCATAATGTGAGAGTGTGGGGTGAGATGTGTAGACATAATGTGAGAGTGTGGGGTGAGATGTGTTGGCATAATGTGAGAGTGTGGGGTGAGGAGTGTAGGCGACATATGAGGGTGTGGGGTGAGATGTGTTGGCATAATGTGAGAGTGTGGGGTGAGATGTGTAGACATAATGTGAGAGTGTGGGGTGAGATGTGTTGGCATAATGTGAGAGTGTGGGGTGAGGAGTGTAGGCGACATATGAGGGTGTGGGGTGAGATGTGTTGGCATAATGTGAGAGTGTGGGGTGAGATGTGTAGACATAATGTGAGAGTGTGGGGTGAGATGTGTTGGCATAATGTGAGAGTGTGGGGTGAGGAGTGTAGGCGACATATGAGGGTGTGGGGTGAGATGTGTTGGCATAATGTGAGAGTGTGGGGTGAGATGTGTAGACATAATGTGAGAGTGTGGGGTGAGATGTGTTGGCATAATGTGAGAGTGTGGGGTGAAGAGTGTAGGCGTAATGTGATGGTGTGGGGTTAGGAGTGTAGGCGACGTATGAGGGCTTTGGAGTGAGATGTGAGGGTGTGGGGTGAATGTGGATGAGCGGAGAAAGGATGTGAGGGTGTGGGGTGAATGTGGGGGTGTGGCGATGGAATGTGATGTGATGGTGTGAGAGTGGAAGTGAGATGTGCGGGTGTGGGAGTGAGATGTGAGGGTGTGGGAATGGGAGGGAGATATGAGAGTGTGGAAGTGAGATGAGAGATGTGATAGTGTGGTAGTGATTTCTGGAATGTGGAGATGGGATGTGAGGGTGTGGAGGTGGATGTGACAGTATGGGGTGAGATGTGTAGGTGAATATGTGCGTGTGGTAGATTGTTGAGTATGTTGACGGATCATTACATATGTTGACGGATCATTACAGTATTACAGACGATTGTTGGCTGTTATGATTGTAGCTAGTTGCACAAGTAAATTAAATATGACGTCACAGGCTAAAACCTTTCGTGCACAACAAAATCTAATTCAAGTGTAGTCGTTCGCATTGTCATGTTAACCGTTTAAAAAACGATAGAACGCGATTATGATTCCAATCATATATGCCCTTCTTATTAGCAGCGGTTATTGGCCGTTACTGCCGTATAATTTTTATTTCAACATTTTACTTGTTTTTGTTAATCTCATATTGAGTTTAAAAGGTAAGTTTTCAAAAATTCAATTAAAATAGTAAAACATTGAGACTAACTCTGTTTTAGTGGGATTATTTTCGTTTTTTATTAAACTTTCTAACTGGCATATTTATTTTAGTTTTTTTCCGTTTAGCAGACTATGCAAAATGTCTCACAAACTAAGTACCCTATTAGCGGTATCGATACCGCATTTTCATGTTCCTTCGTTTTATTTCACCTTCTAACTAAAAAAAACACCTGACATATTTACAATCACCAATTTGCTAAATTAACCTGCTCAAACTTTAAGCCACGTTAAGACACGCTTTACCTTGCCACATATCGACCTGCACAGGTATATATATATATATATATATATATATATATATATATATATATATATATATATATATATATATATATATATATATATATATATATATATATATATATATATTCCTTATGAAATATTGTAATATTGAAATAAAAATGTGTGTGGCTCTTTAAAACTTAGAAATTTGGTAAATTATAACTTTTGGCTCTTCCGTCTCAAAGGGTTGCCGACCCCTGGACTAAACTAATATTTATATTACATAAGAGAAATGCATGAGCAGCTTTTATTATTTTTTTTCAGAAAATTATCTGGCATACTAGGCGTTAATGTACACATCCACAGCATCGATAGTCTAGGAGATGTCGCCAGTCTAGGGTAAGTACATGGTAGAGGTAGCCTTGAAACCTACTCAAGGTCCCTTCGTTAAAAGCCTTAGTTCACATTAGAGTTTGATCCGTTTTTGATGCTAAGCCTCTGCTAATGACAGAATACATCATAAAACAAGTTAATAAAAAGTCTAGTGACAATTTAAGCGCAATTTCCTTATGTTATCCATAACAATTTTTAATTTTTTGTGACCCAACGAAAGGATATTTTTTCGAGCTAAATACCTACACGATGCTCAGTTTAAATTTTCTTCCTAGGCCTACAAGATGCTCAGTTTAAAAAAGTAGTAAATATTTTTTGTGACCGAACGAAAGGATATTTTTGAAAACTTTCTTCGGCAATATTGTTCTAAATTATGGCAGGAATCGATTGGTAAATGTTTCAAGTCACTAAGTGGTCTGGTTGCCGGAGATATGGAGCAAACACTGCATTTGTTCGAGGTTTTTTGGCTTTTCCGGGAAATCCAGGAAGGAATTCCGGGAATTTTTTTGGCCCACAATCATCCTTGGAACTCACTTAACATATTTGCTTTTGGAACTAGTCCTCGATATTGCTTCGTTGAGGAGGAGATACCACTTAAAGCTGCGGACACACATCCATCCATACATCCATCCAGAAATGACGAGTTAATAATCGCAATTGTCCGTATGGAAATTGCGCTAAAAATGGTTATGTATATTCTGGTCTCTAAAGTTTAAATGTTTTCAGCTTTTTTACAACAATCGATAAATTTGTGTTAATAAATTGAAGAATTCATTTGTAAACTCCAGCAGTATTAATGGATTTCAGAATCTGATATTTTTATTTCTACTTGGATGACTCTTTCGGGGTTAGGATTAGAATTAGATTCCATTGAAAGATTATTGTTATAGTTTATTTATGGTAATGGCTAGGGTGTTGATACTTGCAAAAGTAAATATATGACTTGCTGGCGCTATACTAGAGGCATTAAGTAATGTAGTAAAGAGATCATCCTAAGATAAATACAATACACGATTAGAGTAATTCGCATTATGTTTGTGTATATCTTAGCTCAAAGGTCTATATCTCCGCTACAACTGCTGATGGTCACAAAGTTTATCCAACAGATCTGAACAGGTAAAGTTTCATTTGGTAGATCAAATACGTCAGACAGTCCATTGTTCTAATTATTAATTACATCACACAAAGACCAATAAAGGCTTACACAACCAAGCCACAAACTCACTCATCTACTGCCTACTTATAGCCCACACTGTTAACTCACACCAGTACATCACTGTCTACTTAAAGTTAAGGCCCACACAACCACTAATACGTAGCCCACTTATAGCCCACCCAATAATCCCACACAATCGTTAAGTCCCACACAGCCTATTTAAACCCCACACAATAATCCCACACAATAGTTACTCCACAACCTACTTAAGGCCCACACAATAACCCCACACAATAGTTACTCCACAGCCTACGTAAGGCCCACACAATAATCCCACACAATAGTTACTCCACAGCCTACGTAAACCCCACACAATAGTTACTCCACAGCCTACTGAAAGCCCACACTATAATCCCACACACCACTATTCCACAGCCTACTTAAAGCCGACACAATAATCCCACACACACTCGTACCCCACAGCCTACTTAAAGCCCACACAATAATCCCACACAATAATCCCACACACCACTACTCCTCAGCCTATTTAAACCCCACACAATAATCCCACACACCACTACTCCTCAGCCTATTTAAACCCCACACAATAATCCCACACAATAATCTCCACAGCCTACTTAAAGCCCACGCCCCAGCCATCTACTCAGCCTTCCAGAAGTCCACCAAGTCTGAAGACAGCGAGAAGCTGTTTACTGTCCCATTCAGCGTAGTGCTAGCCCTGGCCATCCTACTGCTGCTCATCTGCCTGCTGTTTGCTGTTCTGCTGTACAGACAGAGACAGAAGTAAGTTCGACCCAGCCTTCGTACAGCATTCATTCGGATTTGCTTTATGGCTCATTAACATTCTGTTGCATTGATTCATATTTATTGTACTATTCATCAACTACTTTATTATTGTTGTGAAGACACAGACACGCATTACGCGTGATCCGATGCGTGGCGCAACATACAAGACAGACGACCACAAACGGGTTACATAACAAGACTGAATGTAAACAAAGGCTCGTTAAAACTAAAATAATTTAATTAATATTTACATCAATATCATGTTCGCAGAGATTGGTTTCTTATGGTATCACCACATACATATGCAAAATCATGGATTAAATTAGCAAGCGCTTCAGAGTGCTTCTCGGGTGTGCAAGCTTACCGCTTAAATCGCTTAGAGAGTTCAGAAGACGTGTTGGCTGGTAACAATTCACACTACTTTCGTCGTTGCAATCAGACGTAGATTGTTGAACTGTGAACTTGTTGGGTTGACTTGGTAACACAAGTTTTCATCTCTGATCTGTTCATAGCACACAGCTGATCAGGTCATAGCACACAGCTGATCAGGTCATAGCACACATCTGATCAGGTCATAGCACACATCTGATTAGGTCATAGCACACAGCTGATCAGGTCATAGCACACAGCTGGACAGGTCATAGCACACAGCTAATCAGGTCATAGCACACAGCTGATTAGGTCATAGCACACAGCTGATCAGGTCATAGCACACAGCTGATCAGGTCACAGCACACAGCTGATCAGGTCATAGCACACAGCTGATCAGGTCATAGCACACAGCTGACCAGGTCATAGCACACAGCTGATCAGGTCATAGCACACAGCTGATCAGGTCATAGCACACAGCTGATCAGGTCATAGCACACAGCTGATCAGGTCATAGCACACAGCTGATCAGGTCATAGCACACAGCTGATCAGGTCATAGCACACAGCTGATCAGGTCATAGCACACAGCTGATCAGGTCATAGCACACATCTGATCAGGTCATAGCACACATCTGATTAGGTCATAGCACACAGCTGATCAGGTCATAGCACACAGCTGGACAGGTCATAGCACACAGCTAATCAGGTCATAGCACACAGCTGATTAGGTCATAGCACACAGCTGATCAGGTCATAGCACACAGCTGATCAGGTCACAGCACACAGCTGATCAGGTCATAGCACACAGCTGATCAGGTCATAGCACACAGCTGACCAGGTCATAGCACACAGCTGATCAGGTCATAGCACACAGCTGATCAGGTCATAGCACACAGCTGATCAGGTCATAGCACACAGCTGATCAGGTCATAGCACACAGCTGATCAGGTCATAGCACACAGCTGATTAGGTCATAGCACACAGCTGATTAGGTCATAGCACACAGCTGATCAGGTCATAGCACACAGCTGATCAGGTCATAGCACACAGCTGATCAGGTCATAGCACACAGCTGATCAGGAGACAATTCTTGATGGACGAGAGTTGGGGTGCGCACAGGCATATTTAGCCCGACGTGCACTAGCATAGGGTGGAGTTCATAGCCGAGAGTGGTGGGGCTGTGTTGTTTCCTTAATAGGAGTTGGATGTTAGGGATAGGTAGAGTCGGATTCACCGCAAGGGTGACCACTCTATGGCCGGTGTGTTGAGCACGGGAATACCACGGGACTTTAGGTAAACTGTGTGCAGGGGTGCGCTGGAGGTTGCGTCCTTTATACCCTGAAGCATGACAGATTCTCCGGCGTACAATGATGCCAACTAGGGTAAACAGTCACTCACCAACACTGACACGGCGGCTACCGTGTCTGGTAGAATCTTCACTGGCCTGACGTCATATTGTTGTGATCCAGAGACTGTACCTACCACAATGTATGGTAGAAAACATCTATCCAAGGTACCACTTTGACTCAGGTCACCGTCACTGCTTCGTTTGAGGACTGTGGGGGCACAGGCATATGACAGCCTAGTGTAAGGGGTCATCCATTTATGACGTTCACAAAAATTTGGAATTTTATACCCCCCTCCTCCCCGTCCACATGCGTCCACTTTCGACGAACACCCGAAGAGATGCCCGGAAGAATCTCTGCACTACAATCACAAAAACAAACAGTCTTGTTCAGATCAATTATATGTTGTGAACACACGGACATGCCTTACATGTGATCCGATGCGTAGCGGAACACATAAGACAAACAACCACAAACGGGTTACAAAACAAGACTGAATGTAAACAAAGGCTCGTTAAAACTAAAATAATTTAATATTATCTACACCTAACACAGTCTATTCTAAACACAAAATACAAAAAGCTAGTAAAACTATGGCTAAAACCTAGTATAGACCAAACCTGTACTAACCTTGGAGGTATGTACGAAACAGAGGCCATCACACACGTTTTCAATCACCTTATATACCCTTTCATAAACTGGTACCAACCGGACTATTACAACTCACAGCACGAGAACTGAACAGGGACGAACGGAATAGGGTAAAAGGTACAAACGTAATTCATCCCATTCATCCGCCTTCACTCGTTCACTACATAATTTGTTCATATTTATTTATAGCTCATCAACCTCCTGTGTCATGCGTTCATATTTATTTCGTAGTTCATTAAGCTTACGATAAACAGTTCGTTAAACGAATTCAAAAAAGAGGTTAAAAAAGTACAATTCTATTTTCGAAAAAAATTAAACGAATTCAAAAAAGAGGTTAAAAAAGTACAATTCTATTTTCGAAAAAAATCCGTGAGAATAGAAACATTTACTGGAAAGGTAGCGTTCATGTTAAATAAATGTAGGAGACAACTTTTCTAAGTCCTTTTTACAAAGAAACCTAAATAAAAACGAGACATAGAATTCAATTCTAATCATAAACAATATAAACTTTGGAAGATTTGTAATGCATAATTATTGTTTACTGTAACAATAAGGAACTAAAGCAATTGTTTGGCCAAAGCATCAGAAACGCGAACCGTTACTAGCAATCTATTATTGTTGTTAGATAAGTTTAAAACCCTAACTTTAAAATGTGCCTTTTGTCCAGGTACAAAATCAACCTCCGACTCTTTGAAAAGCTGCATCAGGACACGAAGATTTACGACGCCACCCGAAGCCTCAGCGTCACTCAGATACCGGAAGTTCGCAACGGCGACGTGTCAAGGTCGAGCCGCAGCAACGGGTCAGCGCGGTCGTCAAGGGGGGAGACTGAGGTCATTCCGTACTTCTCAAGCTTGGACCAGGGCTACGTCAACTCTACGTTTGTGGACGATGATATGACCTACAGCAACATCCAGGACCAGAGCAACGTGCGGAGAGGGAGCCGGGATACGTATGACGTTGCTGATGTTCCCGTCCCCGATTCACGTCAAGGCGAGGTCACCGAGCGCGCGTCCTTGACGACGGAAGTGACGAAAATAACGGAGCCTGCTCACGTGACCGTGATTGCCGTGAGAAGGTTGTCTCACGGCGAACAGGACCGCGAGAGTCTGGGTTTTGAGGACGAGTCACCGCCGTTAGACTCCCAGCGTCACGCGTCACTAGCCAGACGCCCGAGCGAGGCCGACAGCGGGGTCCCTGCAGAGAGCCACCACGACGACGATAATGAAGACGACGACGATAAAGAGGTCGCTGACATCTACGCCAACGTCAACAAAAACAACACCGCGGAGAAGCAACTCCACACCGGTCCCAACCTTGACCTCATGACCTTTGCCCAGACCTCGGCGCCGACGACTTCCGCCCACACGTACACCCCACACGATCCGTATGAGCCGGAGCCAGATTATGCTAAAAGAGTTCACTTTAACGAGGAGGCCAGTGCATACGGGGAGAGACCGGAAGAGGAAATCGACCAACCGTCCACGGAATTTGTAGACTCGCCTTCCCACCACGGCGATTTGGCGAATGAAATGTTTGAAATCACAGCGTTGTAAACACAGCTGTGTCGCACAGTGTGTGTTTCATACTGTCACTACACGGCGTGGTGTGTAAACAATACCATGCGGCACATATACCACACAGTGACAATAAATAGATGTGGCACACAGAGGCGTAGCAAGGGGCGGGGGGAAGGGGGGGAGGGGCCCTGGGCGCCGATCTTAGTGGGCGCCAAAATGGGTGCAAATCGAAAGTTTGAAGGGGGGTGCAAATTGAAAGGTTTCTCCCGAGGGGGGCGCCAAAATTAAAGTTTGTCCCCGGGCGCCAGGAAAGGTCGCTACGCCTCTGGGGGCACATAAACATACCTAGTGGCATTTATACCACATGATAACTAGATAAAACATTATTCCAACACGATGTGGGGTATATACTTTAATCTATGTGACATGTATTTAATATAGATGTTGCGCATATACACCACAATGACATACATACAATGCAACAGCTATTATACTACACTATGTTGGACTCGCCCAGTGGTATATAATCAACACGGTGACATAATAACAAGATATAACATTCGTTTCGGGTTATATAAAACACAGTGTGATTTAATGCAAAATGTTGCAAACATACAACATTATTATCTACACAAAGTACTACATCTAAAGCACGGTGTAGCATATTTACAACATCTGTTGAGTGTTTTCAATGTGATAACTAGCACAGGGTTGATGACAATTCTGCTGGCAGAGCTGTCTGTTTTCATCACATTTGTTTACCTATCACTCTTACCGTCATGGTTTAGTAGGTCATATGTTTTCCTATCACTCTTACCGTCATGGTTTAGTAGGTCATATGTTTTCCTATCACTCTTGCCGTCATGGTTTAGTAGGTCATATGTTTTCCTATCACTCTTACCGTCATGGTTTAGTAAGTCATATGTTTTCCTGTCACTTTTGCCGTCACTGTTAAAGAGGTCACATATCCAGCGGTTAATTTCTTTTCGTTGCATTATGTTTTCTTTAATTATTGAAATGAAATTCATACTATACTATTGACTATAATAAAAGAATTATATAGTTTTTTAGATAAAGAATTTGTTTATTAACTATTATACGCACTTCAATAAATGTATGCTCTTTAACTACTTAGTTTAGTATCTTGAATATTCAGAAAAAAAAAATACCATACATGGCGACTCGACTACCCATATTAACATTTTGTACTCGATTATCCATATTTCTAGTATCTGCAATAAAAAAAACACTTGAACCATCCAATCGGAACATATTCTTACCAAGCATTTAATTACAGTTATTTACTATTCCCTTTATACGAATGTCTAGTTCCGGCTAATCGATAGTTGACCAATGCTTGTAATAGTATTGTAGGTTCTAATTGACCATACACCCCACCAGGTACTATTTTTCTTGTATTAAAAAACATCAGGATAACATAAGTCATATTTACTTTGAATTTACCAAGTAGCCGATTATTATTAATATATGAAACTGAAAATGCTGATTTAAAAAAGGAAAAAAACTTCTAGGTTATTTCCCTTTTTACAGTTTAGGCTTGAATTGGTAAATATTATAAATCATTTTATCTGCATATCTACAATATATATATATATATATATATATATATATATATATATATATATATATATATATATATATATATATATATATATATATAAAAGTAACATTTGAAAGTATTAATTAATAATGAAATAATCTGATACCCAGAAGAATTTTTAAAATAATAAACTTTAGAATGTTCAAGATAGTTTAATTTTAATAATAAGATTATGTTTCTAAATATATCGTGTCAAGGAGACATACATAGAGGAGACATACATAGAATATACCTTTGCTTCATTGGCCTACAAGAAGAGTTATTTTTTTTAGCTACGAGTAAAAGCTATCAGCTTGATACAAATTGTGTTATTTGCAATCTAAGTAAACTGATTAAAATTATCAGTGGCTCAACCACTAACCCTACCTTTTCCTTAGTATGGACCTTATACATATGTGATTACACAGTCCCTTATCCACAGCCATTTTTAAAACAGGTTTGCAGATATGACATCAATGCTGAACCGGGTTTTTTGGTTTTTTGTTGTGGAAATCGGTTTGACTAAGAAAATCTGATTTTTCGACAACCGAAGCGAGACAACTCAGTTATAATAAAAGGAAAACTGAATTGTTTCCCCTGGATTGCAAAAAATAAAATAAGAGTAAAACACGTTTTCAATAAATTAGAAATGCTGTCACTTTATTGAAAGTTATTTTCAAAAACTTTGTTTACAATACAGAGTAAATTAATGTTTTTAAAGAGGTAGTCTCTAGATCCCTCCAACCTATCAATTCAAATAACTTATGACTTGCTGCCTTGGTGAAATCATTAAGTTCTGCAAGGATATAGTTATTAGTATATAGTTATTTAGTAATTGGGTGCATTATTAGAAATCAAGTTGTCTTCACCTGCTATTTATTTCATTGATTTGAAATTGTTTTTAACTTTTAAAGCACATTACAAAAAAGTCATTTCGGCTATGTCCAGCTTAAGCCTCAATGTATGAGCTAGCTACATCCTAATGGCTTCAGCTAGACTGAGTTGGTCAGTGTATGGTTTCCCTGGATTTCAATCAACAAAGTAAAATTTAAAAAATAAAAAAACCATACAGCACTGGATGAAGTATATAATCCAAATGATAAATAAATTAAAGCATAATACTAAATCACATCAAATATTAGAATCATCTTGAGTAGATAAATAAAAAAATTACTGTAAAAATTCTTTGAAATTACCGATGTAGCAATGATTCGTCGAGGAAACTGGCTTAAAAAAATTATTTTGTAGATTACTGTATCCTGCATATGCTGTTTTGGGGTGGGATAAGCGCCCATTTTATAGTTAAAATCATGAAAACATTTCAGCATTCAGTGTCAAAATGGCCAGTGACAAAATGGCCCTGTCAAATCAACCCCATCAAAAGGGCCACATTATAAAGGCTCCAGACAAATAAGCTCCTGTCATTGAGGCTTCCAGCACAATGGCTGGCATTATTAAGACTCCCGATAAATAGGCTCCCAAACAAAATGATGTTATCTTTTAAGCATTATGTTATAAACTTCTGTGCTCTCTTTTATGCAACAGATTTTCAAGGAGTAAATAAAACTTCACAATTTTTAAAATTAGTGGCATGTTGCTGTTAGGAGCTCAACCTGTTCATGGATTGCTTCAAGAAGTTTTTTATTCAGGCATTTAAAGAATATATGGTCTAGTGGAGGCAGATCAGTGGGTGATAGGTGGGCCAGATAAAATGGCTACTTCCTTGCCAAAAGTGGTCTGTAGTTTATTTTTTGGAGCCAATATGTCATGAGCCTATTTGTCAGGAGCCAATATATCGGGATTCCATTAGTTGGAAGCCTAAATGTAGGGAGCTTGTTTGTCAGGAGTCAATATGACGGGAACCCAATTGAAGAGAGCCAACATGACAGTGCTATTTTGACTGGGTCATTGTGTCATGGGCAGATAAATCGAGGTCATTTTGACAGTGCACCAGATTTCAGCGTAAATGATAATCTCTTCACCTTCTACAAATTTAAATTAATTAGCTAAGATAACGTGTTACATCACAGTTAAAGAGCAGCCATCATGGGTTTGTCCATCCACCAAACTTCTCTTCCAGCTTCATGGCTACAGCTAGACTGAGGTGGTCGTTGTATGGACTGGTCACCACTTGAACACCAAGCGGGAGGCCATCTTTGGACAGACCCAGTGGGCACTGAGTCACAGGTAGAGCTAGGGCATTAAACAGGGCGGTGTAGGCGAAGTTCATAGGTGTAAAGATGGGGTGGTTGTGGTAGGGTGCTAACTTGGGGTGGGACGGGTATAACAATACTGTATCATCACCCAACAGGCTCACAATTTCTTCTTTCAGTGCATCTAAAATCTGAACGGCCTTTAAATCCTTGGATTTGGTTAACTGAGGAAGGAAATCATCAAACAGTCCAAGTGCTATAGCAGGCAGGGTGTGGTTAGACTGACGCACTAAACTTTTCGCAAGTTCCAGAACACAGTTCACTTTCCCTTCACCGCCAGCCATCAGAGTGGCAAACTTTGGGCCATTGGCCAGGTTCATTTTGGCCGCCCACATTTCCAGTGCAAAACGGAATTTCTTTATGTGCGTCTCATTACAATCAGCTCCCAATGTCTTTAAGTACTCGAAACACTGAAAAAAATATCAACAGTGTGACAATACAGTCCTTTCAAGCACAAATTTGTATTCAGTTTAAAACAGCAGAAGTTGTTTCAATTAGCTTCTACTGGTTAGCTAGTAGTGTAGTAGTCAAGCGTTATGACAAAAAGCCTCACCTTTTTCTGAATGGCAACTAGTTCTGGATCCACCTTGCTGAGAAGTAAAGAGCCGCTATCATCAGGGACAGATATGACTTTTAGCTTGGAGAAGTTAACCTACAGTCATGAGAAATAAAACTTTATTGACACCACTAAACTTCTAAAAATTTGAAAACAATTTAATGCCCACTTATTGGTACAAACTAAAATTAAAAAAATAAAGTACACATTTATTTTACTACAAGTTTCATATCTCGAGTTTTGAAAGGTTTCTTAGGGGTCGGCGTGGTCGAGTCGGTAAAGCTCATGGTTGCTAAACCGAAAAGACTCGAGTTCGAACCCTTGGGCAGATGAGGCTCATTAGCTGGGGACAGCCACTCTTCTAGGGGAGACAACTCCAAAATTAAACAACTGCTGCCTTGTAGTTTGTTCTTAGTTTGACAAAGGCTATGGAAGATAATCCAAAAAGAAAAGCAGGCTGAAATCGGAGTCAATGGCCTCAATGGCGCATAACCAGTTGACACGTAACGCTTAATTGTGTTGGAGGTATGGTCGAGTCGACAAAAAGCTCATGGTTGATAAATTCGAACAAAGTCTCGAGTTCAAACCCACTGGCAGATAAATCTCAATCCCCTTCAACACTAATAATTAAGAACGAAGAAGAAGACGAAGGAAAGATTTCTTCAGACTTTGCACCACCTGCTCATGGACTAATCAACTCATACCTCTGTTACTTGCCACAGGTTTATTATTAATCCTCTTGTCCCCCCCCCCTCTCTCTCTTACAACTTTCATTGCATGCATTACTACAGATCCTTCCATACTTATTTAAAACGAGCCGGCCCGCTGCATAACATACGCCGCTATTTAGTTTTGTTTTTTCTACTTTTCAGTAATTCACAATTTGTGAATTCGACAGTACCAACGCTGACACTGAAAATATTTCTTTAAAACACTATAAGTAGCTCGTTAAGGACCATAACCCCCCCCCCTTCCTCCCCCCCCCCCCCCCCCCCCCCCCCAACGTTTAAAATCGTTTCAAACTAAATTATCTGCCCCTAATAGCCGTCACTAAACCCGACTCCACGAAGGTAAACATAGCGTGAACCACAGCTCACTGAGACCATGTAGGGGTGGGGATGGTAGGGAGCGCGTTTACAGCTTGTTTTCTAGCGTCTCCCAGAAGAGAATTATATATATAGATAGCTAACTGAATATCGTTATAAGAATTTTTTTTTTTTAATATTACCACAATGGTTACAATGTTTCATTAAAAAATTTATTATACATTACAAAAAAACTATTAGCCTTGCAATCTTTGATTTGTTATGAGGTAGAGAGGTAGACTAACCTGTCCAGTTTGTTATGACGTAGAGAGGTAGACTGACCTGTCCAGTTTGTTATGAGGTAGAGAGGTAGACTGACCTGAGTGTCCAGTTTGTTATGAGGTAGAGAGGTAGACTGACCTGTCCAGTTTGTTATGAGGTAGAGAGGTAGACTGACCTGAGTGTCCAGTTTGTTATGAGGTAGAGAGGTAGACTGACCTGTCCAGTTTGTTATGAGGTAGAGAGGTAGACTAACCTGTCCAGTTTGTTATGAGGTAGAGAGGTAGACTGACCTGAGTGTCCAGTTTGTTATGAGGTAGAGAGGTAGACTGACCTGTCCAGTTTGTTATGAGGTAGAGAGGTAGACTAACCTGTCCAGTTTGTTATGAGGTAGAGAGATAGACTGACCTGTCCAGTTTGTTGTTTGTTATGAGGTAGAGAGGTAGACTGACCTGAGTGTCTAGTTTGTTATGAGGTAGAGAGGTAGACTGACCTGTCCAGTTTGTTATGAGGTAGAGAGGTAGACTAACCTGTCCAGTTTGTTATGAGGTAGAGAGGTAGACTGACCTGAGTGTCCAGTTTGTTATGAGGTAGAGAGGTAGACTGACCTGAGTGTCCAGTTTGAGTTTTAAAACCCCCTCTGGTCCAGCCATCACCTTCAGTGCAGGAATGAGATCAGTGGCATAGCGACACATGGGCCCAGTGGCTAGCAGAGTCATAGCTGCCTCATTGGCTATAGGAAACTGACCAGAGTTGTCCACCACACCTGCAACACATTCACCAAAGTTTAACATCAAACTTCTGTGGTCAAGCACACTATTGCTAACCCTATGTTTTTAAATCTGTTTTCTAGCCTGCTTCTGGTATGATTTTCACTCAGTTCTGATGTGTACCAGACTCAAATTAAGTGGTGTCAGCTGGGTGTAGTGCTCAACAAATATATGCTTTTTGCCAAACAAAAAAAAAACAGAAAGATTAATTCTATTTCATCTTCTCTTATTTAAGATCATCATCATCTTTTCCCATTCATGCCCAAGACACATGGGGCAGAGGAAGTAAAGTTTAACTGTTTCAGAGACCTCAGCATATGAAGGGATAGTGTGGTCAGCGCTATGTCCAGCCACCTTTGTTTCCCTAACATAAGTTAGGTACTCATCTGAGCTAGGTGGACTCAAGGACGTCCTACAGGCTTGAGCCCGGGATATAAACTATAGGCTTTCAGATTAGCAGTCTAGTGCTCTAACTCTAGGCCATACCATTCCCTGGGTCTGAAAGCTACTTGATATAATTTAGATTGATAAGACACATTAAAAGACGCAAGTTTGTATGATAGAATTGTACTACTGATATGTGAAGCTGAATCAAACTGTTGTTTGTAATGAAACTATGGTAACACTAGGACAAAAAATTACCTGGGCTTGGCTTGTGTCCAAACACTCCATTAAAAAAACAGGGCATGCGAATGCTCCCACCTATATCAGAGCCAATCCCAATCACAGACGCCCCAGTGGACAGTATGCACCCTTCACCCCCTGCACAAGTGGAAGATGATAGGAAGTTTCATTAAAGTTTTATTCAATAACATTTAGGAATCTAAATGATCTCTATATTAAGATCTGGTTTATGATCATCATAAAAGTTTTATTTAGGTTTACAAACAATACTTATGTACATGCTGTATGTATTTAATAAACATATAAGATTTGCAACTAACTTAAAGGTTCTTATAAAAATGCAGGCAGGATAATACAGTATCATATCAAGATGTCTTTTTGACAGGTTTTGCCAGCAAAATAGGCTTTTGGTTAGAATTAGGGATAAAACTATGGCTTGGATAGTGATATTGGCAAACAAAAAAAATCATCCATGGCTGATTTGAGTCTTTCAATCAACCCTTCTTTATTTATTAAGCTGATTTCAATGGGATAAACTTAAGGCATCTGGCCAATAGTCCCTGAGTAATAAATTTTACTGTTAACACTAAGTTCATAATTTGGCATACCAAGCATATTTGTTGGTTGCTTTTATTAGCAGATATAGACTACAATATATTTTTTTTTATTTTCAACCACACCATGTGTATGAGAATTAACTAAAATCACAAAATCAATATCATAGACCACCTATTTATTTTCTGCTACAGCTAAAAAAAAGTGCAAGGTACAAACTGACTCTTTTCATTATGGCTTGTCACAACTTACTAAATACATTTCAACTAAAAAATGTTACGTTACCTGAACTTCCTCCAACCATACGTGTGGTGTCGTAAGCATTGTTAGTGCAGCCATACACGTAGTTGGATGACTCAAACCACATACAAACTTCACTGACATTTGTCTGGATAAAAGGTATGGCGCCAGCGGCCACCAAGTTGGCCAGAACTGGAGCATCTCTTGGTGCCAGAATATGTTTCCTGTTGACTACACCAGAAGTGTGTTGCATCCCTTGACAATAAACATACAAGGTTAGGACATGCAATAAGAAACCTCAACCATTCAATATTGGAAAGAAAAATATCGCAGTAGGTCACACAGATGGTGATATAAAAATTTATATTTTATAAGGATTTAAAAGAAGTCTTTCTAAACAAATATTTCAAATAATTAAATGAATAGATCTACTGTAATATTAAACACAAACCCTAGAACAACAAGGTCCTAAGTGATGCAGTTTAAACAAGCTGATAGAACTTTCTTATTCTATGATCACACAAAGTTGAGAGATATAACTTAATAAGTAATAGTTCACACAAGACTGATCTACATTGTCACAAATACTGCACCAAGTGATGCAGTTTACACAAGCTGATAGAGCCCATGATCACACAATGCTGTGAGACAAAGGGAGCAATGCTTCACACAAGACTGAGTTATGAGCCCTGTTTACCTGTATGAACTAAGGCACAAACTACTGAGTAATGAACCCTATTTACCTGTATGAACTAAGGCACAAACTACTGAGTAATGAACCCTCTTTACCTGTATGAACTAAGGCACAAACTACTGAGTAATGAACCCTCTTTACCTGTATGAACTAAGGCACAAACTACTGAGTAATGAACCCTATTTACCTGTCCACTCAAACGCTTCTTTCACAGACAGAGGGACACCCAGCAATGGTTTCCTTGCTTCAGAAAACTGCTCCTCAATCTCCTCAAATGAGAGAGAGTCCAGTGTTTGATCCAGCTCCTGCGCTCTACGCAGTGCCTTGTCATACTGCTCCCCTACTATAGCATTCACCAGCACATTCACTTCCTTGGCCCTCTTAATATAAGCAGCCATAACATCTTCTGCTCTTAGCTGAAATTCAAACCAAAAATAAAATTTACACGCCAGAATAAAATCTGGCAGCTGGTTACAATTGACCAGGAGGAACATTTAAAATACAGGCCAAACTGGCAAATGTGTAAACTCTTTTTCATAAAGGTCTATCTTGACAATATTTTTATAATAACCAGGTAATGATGATTAGAAAATTAAATATTAAATTTTGCTGACTAAAAATTTATCTTAACTGATAAACAATTTTTATTAAAAAAATAAAAATTAAATTACAACATTCATTTTTTTTTAGTTTGAAACAGAACATGCCAAAACATTATGCTGCTTGAATTATACTAGCATATCGAAGTTCATAAATTTGTATCAATATTCCATTGCCTTACCTTCCTACTTCTGATATCCCTGGACAACTCTGATGCCGGCATCAAAAGAATTGGATCCTGGACTTTAGAAACTTTTCCCCCTTTCCCCTTGTACTTATAGTCGAATATAAAATTCACCACCACCATAAACAGAAAAGTGAAGCAGCTAAAAATTGTATACAGTGTTGTGTCAACAAAACCCATGGTGAGATGTATCCAAGGTGCAACTGCTGAATTCTGAGGATCAAAATAAATTCAATCATGTATTCCCTTTAACTAAGTGCTCACTTAACTGAGGTAAATCATAACTAATGATAATGTAAACAGGGCCCTATTTTAAATAGCTGTTCCAAACTGCATATGACTGTCTTAGTAAAATAAACAATTAATAGCTAAAACCTGCCAACTTGGTCAGCATAAAGATTTTCGTTTATGATTTGCACTCATCACTGGATGGCTTAAACAAGCCTTTGTATAAGATTGTGGCAACTGAATGCATTTCTACATCATCTTTAAACTTAATTTTTTTAAATGTATTCCTCTAGTTTAAAATACTTTTTAACTGTTATGTTCTTTTTTCTACAATTACTTCGTAATCAACATAAAAGTTACCTTCGTCTACAAAAGATCTACAAACTTGTTTTGTTCCAATAAAGATCTACAAACTAGTTATCCTGGTCCATAAAAGATTTACTAAGTCATTTTTTTTTTATATGACCAATTACTGTTACAGAAAAACTAATATTTCTGCTGGCCAATTAGTAAAACTATTAGTAGTTCACAGAAAGAGTAGATCTAATTGGTTTAAAATAAAGTCAGCAAATATTGTTAGAAAACATTCTCTAATTTCCCAAAGAAAAAGTTAACACAGAAAGTATCCATGTGGGCCTACCTTACATACATTAAAACTATGAGGAATAGAGAAGAAAAACTTTAACAAACAGTGGAAAGAACACAAAGAAATGTTCTAAAAATTGAAAATAAACTTTGAACTTTTTTGAGAGTGTAATACCTACTTAAAACTATTTGTTTAATGATGTTGAACTGACTGCATGGCTGTCTGCCTTAACTTCCTGCTTACAATCTTGTGTACATTATCATGTTGTTGTGACTAATGTTTGCTGGGCATGCTAGCCATCATTGTTGAAGAATAGTGCCATCGTAGCACTCTTATTTTTTTATTGAAATTAAATGGTTTGTATTAATGGCATGAAGAAAAAGAAAAAAATGCAGCATTTTTGTTACCACCAAGCAATCATTTGTTAAGAAAGTTAGACTACTACAAGTAGATCTAGTGATGATTTTACAGAAAGCAGGTATAATCATAATATAAACTAAGTTCAACTTATTTCAACTTAATGTATGGCCCTGGATTTTAGAATGAAGCCCAATGTTTAGCCGATTCATACTGGTAAATTTAACCTTTACTTGACTTACCAATTTTTCGACATATAGTAATAAAAACTGTTTAATTTTTTAGATCATTTAGGCCTAAGTGGTAACCTGTTTGTTGAAAAATAAACAGCTTCTAATGGTAAATAATTTGAAATTTAATTTTTAGTGCAAAATCCTTTGGATTAGCCTTTCCCTATATGAATTTTCAAAGGGTGTTGATAATTTGCGATACACAAAACACAAAATGGCGAGGCTGTAAAATGCAAATAGAAAATGCAAGACATACCTACAGAATCACTGGTAAATAGCAAGACATTTTTTTAGTTTCTTATAAACTAATCAAATAGACCAAGATATATCACGAGTGCTGTATGTTGTTCTTTGATCTAGTTTACATTTTTTTTAAATATTAAAAAATCAAACATCATTGCTCATATCAATTACCCGCTCACGTTTTCTTGTCAGTGGAAGGAAAATTCCATCTTGGTCGACAGTGAGTTCATATAGAGAATATTATTTTAGATTATATTTTCAAAAAACTACATCTTTATTTAAAACAAGCCCGCGGCATAACATACGCCGCTATTTAGTTGTTTCTAATTTTCAATAATTCATAATTTGTGAATTCGACAGTACCAACGCTGACACTGAAAATATTTCTTTAAAACACTATAAGTAGCTCGTTAAGGACCATAACCCCCCCCCCCCTTCCTTCCCTCCCCCCCTCCTCCCCCCCCCCCCCCTACGTTTAAAATCGTTGGCTCTGCTTGTAAACATTAAGAGTGAACACAGCTCACTAAAACCATGTAGGGGTGGGGAGGTAGGGAGAGCGTTTGCAGCTTGTTTTCTAACGGCTCGAAGAAGAGAATTATATATATAGATTCTTAACACTGTCGCCCGCATCTCGCCCACTAACATCTTCTTGTCAGCACGAGAATAGTATCGCTGCTTGAGGGGTCAACGTCAGTGCATATAGAAACTGTAACCTGAGCAATAGCAATTTGATAAACGACTTGGGGTCATTGAGAGTTCATAGAACCTTGTCAGAGGGAGAAAAATTTGGCTAAATTGTTAATGTAAGGCTGATATTACCTTACATTTTTTAACACTTAGTATTGTTTTACGTGTAGAAAGCGTAGAAGTATAAATAAACAATTTAATATTTTAATGAGGGTAATTTATTATTTATTAAGTAACTTTAATTATAAACATTTTTAAAAAACAAAAAAAATTGATATATATATAATATGAAAAATTATTAAGTCGAAGGCGATGGTAATAATCAAAATTTTCTTTGTAATAATACAACATGTTTGCTGTGGCAACATGGTGATGTTCAACAAAGGCAACATATTTGGGGACTTTGGTGTTTCACACAAAAGAAGAAGCTGATATATCATCAGCACATCTAGCGCAAAAAAATCAAAAGTCATAACATTACAAACAAAATATCTTTGAAGTCTGCATCAAAGTTCATTGTAATTTAGGTGCAGTATAATTTTCGCAGATATCTTTGCATTTTACTCACACCCAGTGTAAGTATCAGGTGGGGGTTAGATGCAAAACAAAAATTCATGTCATCATCATCACTCCTTTGTGGCCCCTGGGGAGAAAAGGGCTGCAACCACACATCTCCAGCGGACTCCTCTAATCTGTGCCCATGAGGGCCCAGCTGTTTTTGCCTCTTCCTCAACCGTTCTCTTCCATGTTTTCCTTGGCCGACCCACCCTCCTTTTCCCCTGGGGATTCCAGTCCAATACATGTTTTGCGATGTTTTCTTTTTCTTTTCTTAACGTATGTCCGATCCATCCCCATTTACGGGCCTTAATATCGGTGGTTTTTGCACCCATCTCACAATTTAGCATCTCACCATTTCGTGATTCGAGTCTCGCAGTTTACCAACACCCATATTCAGATGTGTAGAATTTATACTTGGAGATTACAAAAGATTTTATTGACATTTAATGATGAGATAGAAATCAGTGAGTATAGCATATAGTTATAATACAGTATACATATTGTAGTGTTACAGTGTAGGCCTATTCTAGTTGCAAACACTATACTGACTATAGTTATAGTAAAGTATAGTAGATCTTCTAGTTATCTAGTATGATTTTAGTAATCTCTGATGGTTAAGGATACAGATTACAGGATTGTGGTTAGTATTAACTCATTAGCATTGACATTAGCAAGCTATGTGTGTATTTAGTTAACTACCAGTAACCTTACAATTAATGCAATACAATTAACAGTAGGCCTTTTATTACACATCTCTTTTTATAGTATTATTATTATCAGACACTGGTAAATAAATCCCCCCACCAGTCAAAATGCATACACTAGTCTTCACAGCAGAATAGAGTGTAATAGACAGTGTAAAAATTAATAATAATTATATAGCCTATTAATATTAGGGCCTACTTACTACTTATTAATATTACTTAATATAATACTTATTTAAGTTATTACTTATTAGTTTGAAGTTATTAGCCTTATGCCTAATACTTAAATACTAGACTAGATAGATATCTAGATCTATTCATTATATATATACTATAGAATCTAGAACTAGATCTACTAAAATAGAATCTAGATCTAGAATCTACCAACTGCGACAGTGAGTGTAGTGAGTGTGTAGTTAAGTGGTAACCCAAATGGTAAGTAAAAGTTAAAGAAGTACTAGACTCTAGTCTAAGAAGAGGTACTAAGTTACTAGATTCTAACTAAACTAAGTTGCGTAGGCGTAGATCTAAAAGTACACAAGACAGACACTCTTGTGAGTCTTCTCTTCTACTTCTAGAAATCTAGATCTAGAAATCTAGATCTAGATCTAAGAATCTAGATTCTAGATCTAGAATCTAAATTTAGACTAAATCTAGATCTAGATCTAGATATCTAGATCTAATCAAGCCCAAGCAAAATTAGAAAGTTCAAGCAAGTGTCAAGTGTCAAGTGAAGTAGTACAAAGACTGACAAAGAGACAAGTAGTGTTACTAATAATATATAGAATATTTATAGATCTAATTATAACTATACTAAGTACTAAAGTAGAGGATCTAGAATCTAGATCTAGATCTAGAAAATCTAGATCTATAATCTAGACGTAGATCTAGATCTAAACTTGCACCGCGTTTACACACAATTTTTTTTTTTTTTTAGGAAACCATTCTTTCTTAGGATTAACGTTTTTTTGTTTGTTTGTGTTTTCTGAGAAAATAACATGATACCAGATTAATTTGATTTTTAGAGGCCAAACAAGAATCTGGTCTGTTTATTTTGGCCAAACATTTAGATCTATGTTACTCGACTTTTAATAAATAGATCTAGATCTATTCACTATTGTATAGATTATAGATCTATTTCTCATCCGCTCTAGAATCTAGATTACATATAATCTCTCTAGTTCTAGATCTAGTACAATCTTTTTTTTTGTAATATTGACACAGTAAACCGTTGACGAATTATTTGAGCGTTGTGTGTAGCCGTAGGCTATAGATCTAGATCTAGAATCTATATCTAATTTATAATTGAGAAAAAAAAGGGGGCTGGTAAATTGTTTTAAATTAGTTTTAAAGTATGTAGCCGAAAGACAATTTGAATTACTAATTAGTAGTAATTACTAGTAATTAGATCTAGACTATATTCTAGAGCTAGATCTAAATATTTACAAGTAGGCGAATGCCTTGAAATCCATAATTTAATATTAAAGAAAACACTTACTAGACTTATTTATTACCAATGTGTATTAGTAAACTATTATCTGCTTCATCAAGAACGTATTTTTAAAAAGCACGACCTATTATTTTGGACTTTGGATTGTGATAGATCAGCAACGCAGTTGCAGCGATGGTTATACCGTTATATTCAAACTTGAAAATCAGCAGACCGTACAGGCAGTGGTGCAGCTGGGGAAGAGGAGGGGAGAGGCTGTAGTTTTGGGTCCAACCTTTTGTGGGTAGGTAGCACTGTACACCTCCCCCACTTACGAAATAGAAAAAAATATGTAGGCTAATTTTTGTAATTTGTATAGTCTCCGCCCCTGGAAATTTAAATACCACCACTTCCCCCCCCCCTGCAATTTTCTAGCGCCATCAATCCGGAGAAAGACTGAAAGAAACACTGTTTCACGAGGAGAAGAATAACAAAAATGTATAGGGCCTAGCTGAATTTTTAGTTTAAAATAATTAAGTCTAAAACAAAAATAATACACATCTTACCAATTTGATATGATTCCTGTATTTTAAAAATGAGATGCCAGTATCATAGATCAAGAAGTATAAAGACTCCACTTTTTGTTCTAACGGGTCAATTCTGAGAAGTATCGACAACAAAATTACTAACCACAACAAGGGAAACAGGGATGGGCGATTGAATTATTCCAGTATTTGTTTCAGGAGAGTCTCGATAGAAGTTGGGGGACCCTTAAGCCTCCTCCCCTCGAAAAAAAATCATGTACCCCCTCCATCCAGAGGCGTAGCGAGGGGGGGGGGCGGGGGTGCGGACCGCACCGGGTGACACCATTTAGGGGGGGGGG